ACAAAAACATGCGAAGAAAGAAGAAAACCAAGCGAGTACCTGGGTAGTAGTAACAACGATTTCATGCAGGCCTCCTCTGGCCTGGTCTAGGGCATCCAGCATGGTCAAAATCCCGACGTCAAGACCCTCCCGCTCCATGCTCTCGGCATGATCATCGAGCGAGAAAAGAGCCGACGTCAGATCCTGGGTGGCCATCCACTGGAGCGGCGGCTCCCCCCGCATGGGGGAGCGGCTTCCTCCCGATAAAGGGGCCGGGGGCGGCTCCCTCCTGACCCTATGTGGCACCACCGCCATGCTTGAGGACCCTCCGACCGGACCCTCCTCCATCTGGGCTGCTTCGAGAGTCATGGGCGGATCCACCTGGGCCCCTGGTGGCACGGACTGCACTGCGCCCTCAAGCACCACCGTGGCAGTGTCCGGCTGAGCCTGGCTCTGCTCGGCAACCACCGAGGGCGCGGGCATCACCACAGGTGTCGTCGGATCGGCCAACGTAGCCCCAACATCGGCACCGCTCCTGCCCGAAACAGGGGTGACGCCGGGCGGCATATCCGTCCCGCTTTGAATGGCGAGGCTCTTTTGGGCGCCAAATTTGACGGGTGACCCATCCGCAAGAACCTACACAAAGGTAATAGCCATCAGGTCAAAATAGAAATGGAAAAAGGATGAAAACAGGGGAATCAGCATCTTACGCTGATGCCCTCGGCCGGCGGAAGCGTTTTGGGGACGAATCCCTAGATCCCTGCCCCGACTCGTCTAGGCGGGACCGTTTCGAGCCTGCCCCCTGCTCCGAGACAGGGGGGCTCATCTCCCTCACCTCATGAGGCGCGGCACCAGAGCCGCTCCCCTCCATCATCTCATGGGGTGCGGCACCAGGGCCGCCCCTCTCGACCATCAAATCGGGGTTGGCAGCGGCAAACCCGATTTCCCCCATCCACCGATCCTCGGCCGGCACGCCATGCGAAGCGACGGACTCTCCAGCCTCCACCGACCTCACCGACTCGCTTCCCTCCGCGTGGAATGGGAAGGGTCCCTGCACGGACGGGTGGGCACTTGTCAGCGTGTCCTCGTCCTCCAGGACGCCCCAATCCACGTCGATGACTACCTCGTCGTCGTCATCATCATCGTCGTCGTCGTCATCATCACTGCTCATGTCCTCTCCCCGATCCCGTGCTTCCTGCTTCAGTTGTCTCTCCTTCTTCATCTGCTCCCTTGCCTTCTTGTCCTACTCAGCCGCGAGGCGATTCGCCGCCGCCACGGCCTTGTCCTTTGGCAGCAGAACCAGACTGTCTTTGAAGACTAGCCCCCCCAGTTGGTCCCAACGTCGCAAAAGCAAGTATCAAAAAAGATGAAGATCCAGGAAAAAGAAAGAGCACATGAGAAGAAGGCTTACGAATTCGAAGAACCCAAGTTCCGGCCGCATTGGAGGATGTCCGGGCACCGGATACACAATGTCGAGGACGCCGCCTTTGGAATCCTTCGTCGGCTCCGTCGCCTCCTTAATGCACTGCGCCACTTCCGAGAAAGGGAGCGCCTCGTCAACAAGCACCATCCCCTCGAACGATATCCCATGCATCATCCGGTGCAGGGGAAGCGTGTGCATCATCAGCGGCGCCACCCTCCTCGCATGATAGGCACCGATAATTCCCGTCCCCTTTACGCCCCGTTCCTTCAGAGCTTGGAGGGCGAAAAGAAGGTCGGAAAGGTGTTTCTTATCTTTGAACTGGACGCCCGGTGTACCTCAGCAGGGTGGCACTCACATCGTCCCTGACATAAAACCACTGCGAGTGCCATCCCTTGTTAGACGTCGCCAGACGCATGAACGGGTAACCCTTCGACCTGGTATGGCGTAGATGAATACTGGCGCATCCCATCGGCACGCTCACATCCTTCCCCCCAATCTTCCTCTTCGACAAACTAACGGTAAAGAAATACCGCCACAGATCAAAATGGGGATCGATCCCCAGGAAACCCTCACATAGGGCAACAAACGCCGCCATATGTTGAATCCCGTTGGGAGTAAGATGCTGCAGCTCCACCTCATAGTAATCTAGCAGCCCCTGAAGGAATCTATGCGCGGGTACCGCAAATCCCCGCTCATGAAAGATGGCAAAAGATACGACATACCCTTCGGGCGGCGTCGGCTCACCCTCGTCACCAGGTATCAGCCACTCCTGGACGGCGGATAATGGACGGAGAAGGCCACGGCGGATGAGGCCCTCCAAATGCCGAGAGGTGATGCTAGATCTGCCCCACAACTCCATTAAAGCGATTGGGGAGAAGGTGGGCGCAAGATCGACGGTGGCTACGGGACAGGCGCAAGCTTGACGGCGGCTGCAACACGGACGCAAGCTGGTCGACGGTGGCGGTGCGAGCGCAGGAGGCTGGGGCGATTGGCGGTGGATGTCTCAGACACAAAGGCAAGGGGGTGAAATACGGAACCTTGGGGGCGAACCCCGTGGTTTTATAGGGGCGACGGGCGCGAGAAGGGCAACCGTTCGCCTCGATCTCCGAGCCTGCCACGTGCACCGCCGCGCCATGTTGCGGGACACGCGCCCGCAGTCCCTATCCTTTCCCACCGAAAATCATGGTGGACGGTTCGCCTTCCCCAGGCGAATCCGGACTCTCTTCCCACCTGGGGAAGGCAGGTCACAAAGATTTTTTCTATTTGGCCCACCTAGGGCCCAGAAGCTCGGCGGCCGGCCCAACGGAGGGCGGATCCGCGAACTATCCGAAATCAAGGGCGCAAGCATTACTGGGGTCTCGATCCAAGGCCAATCCCAGTTAGGTCAGCCCTGAATGAGATCCCCGCGAACGGGATACCACGACCCCCTCGAAAAAATATCCAGTGGACGAAAAACTAAGTCCTTCAGCCTTACCCGCGAAGGGTACGATACAACCCCCCAGGCGGTTCTATCCGGATCACCTAGAGGCTCGGGGGCTACACCCATCGGTGCGCTCACGCGCACCCTCTGGCAAAATAACTCTGACGAAATCGAAAACACCCTCCAGGCGGTTCTATCCGAATCACCTGGAGGCTCGGGGGCTACTGTCGGGGACCTAATACCAGGGTACCCCAGAAGGTGGAACCAATAACCATCGAACGTTAAAAATTTCTGGACGGACAAGGGCGCCGCTGCGTTCCTTGCCCGAATGGCGAAAGTTAGGTTCCGTCTCGCCCGACGCCTTTGGGCCAGCCCCGCCTCGCCCGAGGGCAAAGGGCTGGCCTCCGTCTCGCCCGACGCCTTTGGGCCAGCCCCGCCTCGCCCGAGGGCAAAGGGCTGGCCTCCGTTCCGCCCGACGCCTTCGGGACAGCTCCGCCTCACCCGAGGGCTGAAGGCTAGTCTCCGCCTCGCCCGAGGGTTGAGGGATACACTCCGCCTCGCCCGACCCCCGAGGGGTGGGCTCGGTCACGCCCAAGGGATAAGGACTGGGCTCCGCCTCGCCCGACGACCAAGGACGAACCTCGCCCCGTTCGATGTCCAGAGACTGGTTTCATCTTACCTGATAACTTCTCTCCCGTCCCCCCATGATGATGGGTACAGAGCAAGACAAGATGTTCGGGTCAACCACGGCCTCAAGGACCATACCCTGCGCCCCGGCAAGAAAGGTACTGCTAGAGAATGACTGGACAGGTGCTTTAGACCCTCCCGGGCGCCATAGAGCCCAAAAGGTATTGCAGGCGCGTACTCCTCGTCCTGTACAGTTGTAGGCGCCGCCTTCAGCTCTGGGACACGGAATCCGACGAAGATACACGACAACCACTACACTCCAGAAAAGGATTTGTGATATCCACGAATGATGGACATGCCGTCACCGCGTTATGGACCCAAGGGAGCGGCGCCCGCTTCCCGACCCCTTAGGTCCACCAAATCAAAGAACCTTGCCCACAGCGCTACTCCGGACCTCGACTCCGCGTCCCTCCGACAGAGACTCATAGAAGCCACAAGGCGTGCGGAGTAAGGCTGGGCGAGGTCCATAAGTCAAAACCACTGTACTACAGCCCATACCCTGCGCAGGGCACTATTTTGTAACCATCCTGACATTCTACAGAAGCATCGACAGTATTGTAGGCGCTTATCATCCTTTCACACCCATCATAATGGGTAACGAGGCTGGGTAGAAGTGAGCCACAAGGTAGCACGCATCCTAAGCCCTGACCCTTGTAAAGCCGTCCCCTTCATCTATAAAAGGGGATGCGTTTCCTCCAGCAAGGGGGGACCGAAACAACGCAACACACACACATAGTCAAGCTGCTACCAAGCTCTTGACTTCCTTTCGACCCTTCCATCAGAGACTTGGGACCTGTCCCTCTCTCGATCGTTTGTATCCCCTACTACGAACCATTCACGGTGCTAATAACACGAGCAGCAACAAACTGGACGTGGGGATATTCAGCCCGAACTAGTATAAACCTTGTGTCCTTTAGCGCACCATCCGAGCCTAACGCGCATTACTATAAATTTACTTGCCGGTGCTTGTACGAAACACCGACAAAACCCTTCTGCTATCCATCGCCGCGTCAATCGATCCCTTTCGATTTTGCAATTCTCAGGAAATGAACTAAGATATAGTACACAGACCTTGAGATGTTGAGGGAGATCATCAAAACCAAGCTGTAGAGCTTGCTTCAATCTATATAGACTACCACTGCTTTCAATCTCCGAACCTAAAGAGCTGTATACTTTCTCCCACCTTGTTGCTTGTGGCCGTGTAGCAGCCAAAAGGCTTGATATGCAGACGATGGCTAGTGGCAAACCACCACACTTTTTAAGGATTTTCATGGACACTTCTTTCAAATCATGAGGGCAGTTGTCCTCAGAACCGAAAATTCGACCAAAAAACAATGCCTTTGAATCAGAATCGTTCATAGATGCTACCCTATACGCAAAGTTGCCGAGATGATAGCTTGAGCGACATGCATCAGCAACAGACTCGTTTCTTGTAGTTGTGATAATGATGCTATCCATATTGTTCTCTGGAAGAACAGAACTAAGATTATCCTATGCTGATGTTTCCCACAAGTCATCAATAACAATCAAGTACCTATAAAGAAATTCCATGAAACAGTTTTTTCATTAGACTGAGGGAAAAGTCATAATAACTCACTGCAACCAAATATTTTGACATGAACATGCACCCAATGAACACTGCAACCAAATAGAACACGAGATGAAAAATATCAAATGGAACTGTTTATATACGAAATTCACTGGAAGAATCTCAGAATAACATAATGGCCTGAACCAGTAGTTCATCGTATCTTTGCAATTAAAAACTTGAATTTACTGTTGATACTTGATAGGGTCTACTGGTGAAACCTATTTGAAAGACAATAGCACATGCCTTTTCTTACAGGGTTGTTAAATAAATCTATCCAGAATGACGTAATAATTTTCTGTAGCTACACAAAGTAATGGCACTTTCTCAACTTTTCCTGGACGATCGATCAATAATTAAGGAACTCAACAAGTCTGTACTGCCGTACTGGTTAATTCACTGATCCAAACAACAGTCATTGCATTTCAAGTACAAACATGGAAAAAGAGTGCAGCTAGAGTCCGCACGATGAATCACCTCTTGCCCTGCAGGTTCTCCCTAACCTTGCCCACGAGCTGGCTGACCAGATCCGGATCCACCATCGAAGAACTCCCAGTAGCTATAACCTGCTGTAGAATGTCCCTCAGAACCCTTTTAATGTCAAATGGCCTGGACACAGTGACGAATGCTCGGCACGGGAACCGGCCCTCCAGGCCGCGGTACACAGCCATGGCCAGGGTGGTCTTGCCAACTCCGGCGAACCCAACAATGGATGCCACACGACGGCGGCCAGACGCATCCTTCGTTCCGGCATCCACAAGCTTGGCAATGATCTCATCGCGTGGGCCGTCGGCGCCCACCAAACTGGACTGACTGGTGATCTCAGGATACACTTCGGACGGCAGTGTTACAATTATGTTCTTTTCTCGACGGAGAGAGTACCCTTTCAAATTTTGAAGAATTTTTCTTTTATTTATATCTTTCTAGAAGGTTTTAACGTTTCCATGGAGGGAGCATGCACGAGACATTTTGCCGTTCTCCATGCTATTCATCTTTGTTCCTGATATACACCTAAACATTTTAACACCTATTCGCTGGTCTGAAACTTGGCTGAAACTGGCTGAAAAACACTGTTCCGGCTGAATTGTCGTGAGAGAAAAACACTGTTCCGGCTGAAAAAAGAAGCCGAACAAGCCGAATATGGGGTAAGCCAAACATGACCTATTTCAGTATCCAAATGAGCTTAAATGAAAAGGTAATAAACAAACAAAGTTGCAGATCTCATCGAGAGATATGATATACATATAAGTATTTTTTTATTAGAAGTTCATATGAAACATGTAATTATTTTCTCAAACTATAATGTGCATGTACTAACATGTCACCAATTTGTCAGGAATGGACCGTCATATGGGCCCTGGGCCTTGGCCTTGGCCTAGATCGCTGGACGCCGCCTACAAGAGCGCAGGACCACCGGCTGGGCAGGGGATCGAACAAATTATCAGAAACAGAATCTCTCTCCCTTAAGTTACTGTTTATCTTTATCCTCGAGCTTCTTCCTCTTGTACCCAGATTTCCTACTTCTAGGTCTTCTAGATCCTTCCAGTACCTTCCTCTAGCATCTTATTCCCATGCTAAAAGGTCCTAATGGCTAGAGGAGGGTGAATAGCCTATAAAAATTTCTACAACAACACTTAAGGAAAGAGGTTAGACAATTATGAAGTGAAACGAGTGTTGCGCTAGTTTACTAAAAATACAAGCCACCTATCCACAATTCTAGTTGCTATGATCTCTATTTCACACAAGAGGCTAAGTCACTGCTCCCTAAGTTAGTGAGCTCTCAAAGACTAACTAAAAAGCCTCACTAACTGTAACACATCTGGTGTTACGGACTCAGTTAGCACTGAGGTTAAGGCATAATAAACCCTAGCGTATGCATTTTCTAGGATTTTAAAATAAATTCTCACATGAAATGGTAAGGTGAACCTAGTGTGACTTACTTTTATGAATAAAAAAAATCAAATAAGTGTTGCTAATCAATTTTTCTTTGGTACTTAAAAGCTTTTAAATAATCTTAGGAACAAAAGTTGTTTAGAGTTTGATTTGGAAAAGTATGAAGAAATTGCTTAAAATGCCTGATAGCAATTCTAGCAAATAAATAGTGAGTGGCTTGTCCTATTTGATTAAGCATAAACAATAATTTTTATAAACAAAAATAAAATATAACTTGTATTTAGTACTTAGATAAAATTTGAAGTACAAGTTTAGTAGATGAAAATATAACTTTTGTTGTGGTGAATAGATGTTGTTCAATAGTATTTTTGATAACTCGAGAATTGAACGTGGAATTCAATTTCAGCTTCTAGAACTAAAATGACATGTCTAAAAACCTAACGACGATGCCGTTTCGGCATTTAAATTTGGCAAAATTGGTTCCTGGACACTGAAAGTGACCACACTTTGCTGCTGGATATCCAAAATAGAGCGATTTGCTAGAGAACACTCTGATTCTTGATAAATTTGCTGGTGGACACTTCGCTCAATAAAATATTCATTTATGGCTTTCGAGTAGAGAGAAGGACAGTGAAATGTCATTTTTGCCCATGCCCCTTTCTTCTACCTTGCTCCCCTCCTCTCCTACTCCAATCGGGCAGTGGGCCATTGGCCGATTCCGGCGCCGCTATGTAGTTGGGCACCGCCCGACGTGTCTGCGAGTGCTCCTGCCCCCGCTGCCAGCCCCACGAGGAGGCCCACGCCAAGCTACAGCGAGAGTCGAGAAAGAGCGCAACGCCGCGGCATCGGTGGGCGAGTAGACCATGTCCAAGATCATGCGCGTGCAGAAGGAGAAATCGACACTTGAGATCGACGTACGACAGCAGCGCCGACGAGGACGAGGTCGAACAGCTCTGGGACATTGTGCTCATGCGGGACACTGGCGTGCGCGGGGCCATGACGAGCGGAGGCCATCTCCGACCACAGGCTCAAAGCCACACGGGCCATGGCGCGGATGCCGTCTCTGACCGCGGTAGCGAGCAGGGGAAGCAGACCGTCCGTGTGGGCGCACGAGCCACGGGTGCGGAGCCACGGTGAGCGGAGGCCGTCTCCGGCCGTAGGCTCAGAGCCACGCTGGGTCACGCGGCCATGGTGGAGCGTGGCCATGGAGGTCAGTGAGCTCCGACCTCTGAGCGTGCGGGGGAGGGAGGCGAGGTTAGCAGCAACATACTGCTCTGACTGTGCCACCACGCACAGCGCGCCCTTCCGCACACCCGCACAGGCGGTCTAGTGCTGCTAGGACAAGCTCGCACACGTGGCACTTCGCCCCGTCGTCGAAGAGCATGTCAACGAGCACGGGAACCGCGCTAGCGTCCACCGCTGTGACGCGGTTTCGTCCCCATGACGCCGTGTGCACGAGCACGTGCAGCGCCGCCTTGTCGTGGGCCTAGAGATGGCCAGCCAATCGCGGAGCAGCTCCATGGCCTCACTGAGCACCTGCTATGGGAGGGACGCCAGCCTACTGGGCGGCAGCGCGGCCGTGACGAGCTCTAGGAGCAGCGCCGCACGCGCCCTGGACGTGGCGCTGGACCGCTGCAGCGCGGAGACAAGCGCCTCGTTCGTCTCCGCGATGCGGCACAGGCATTGCTACGGGACCTGCAGCAAGGAGATGACGTCGAGCGTATCATCGCGGATGGCGGCGGCTGTCCCTTAGGACTTGGCATTGGCGGACGTCTTGAACACCATGGCCAGGACGTCCACCGCGCTAGGGATGGCGATGATGAGCTTCCGATTGCGGTCGCTCTCGGCCGCCAAGTCCCTGAGCTCGCGCAGGACAGCGAGGAGCTACGGCTGCGGCGCCGATGACCCGGTGGTGGCTTCGGCGGCGGCGTGGACACGCGAGATCAGCAGGTGGAAATGAATAAAATATGAGGCACGGTGTCCAGTAGCATAATTGTTAGCAACAAGAGTATCTTCGAGCAAATGGCTCCATTTTGGATGTCCGCCAGCAAACGACCTCCACTTTCAGTGTCCGCTAGCCAATTTTGCCTCTAAATTTTGATTAAATTTCGTAAACACTAGATCCATGTTTTTATACTGTTGGTTGCACCATAACGAGTACCTTGACATGGTGTAGTTCATGTACTAGTTTGGTTTTGCGTTGGCATTGCAAAAATTGCCCGAACTTCGTTGAAACAAGCTATAGACCATGTTGTTAGTGCTCTGTTCGCGATCTGGCGTTCAGCATGACGAACTCATGTTGTCATCCTTTTATCTCTCTCTCTGGTTGCTCTCTAGTCGTGACAATTGCTTTGCTAGCTCGCTGTTAGTATTGGCTTAGGGTTAGTGGAATTGGTTGAACCCCGGTCGTGTTGATCAGCAGCCTTTGCTTCGCTTTAAAATTCGTGCGCAGCATGTTTCTAGTCACTCGGCCTGGAGTGCGCGGTCACCGCGTTGCGATGCTGAAAGGTCCTAATGGCTAGAGGGGGTGAATAGCCTATAAAAAATTTCTATAACAACACTTAGCAAACCGGTTAGACAAATATAAGACGAAGCGAGTGTTGCTCTAGCCTACTAAAAATGCAAGCCACCTACCACAATTCTAGTTTATATAGTCTCTATCCACAATGGCTATGTCACTACACTAAGTTAAAGTGCTCTCAAAGGTTAACTAAAGAGCCACACTAACCAAACTAACAAGCTCTCACGACTAGCTATACTAAAGAGCTTGACAACTAGTTTGCGGTAATATAAAGAGAGAGAGAGAGAGCAAGATGGTTATATCGCCGAGTCGAGGAATAAACCAAATAATCACAAGAATGAATACCAATGAAGACCAATCACCTCGGAATCAAATGATGACGCAAAGATTTTTTTCCGAGGTTCACTTGCCGGCAAGCTAGTCCTCGTTGTGACGATTTACTCACTTCGAGGTTCACGCGCTAATTGACATCACACGCCAAACCCTCAATAGGGTGCCGCACAACCAACACAAGATGAGGATCACACAAGCCACGAGTAATTTACTAGAGTACCTTTTGGCTCTCCGCCGTGAAAAGGTCAAGAACCCCTCACAATCACCATAATCAGAGCCAGAGACAATCACCAACCTTCGCTCGATGATCCTCGCTGCTCCAAGCCGTCTAGGTGGCAGAAACCACCAAGAGTAACAAGCAAATCCCACAGTGAAACACGAACACCAAATGCCTCTAGATGCAAACACTCAAGCAATGCACTTGGATTCACTCTCAATCTCACAAAGATGATGAATCAATGATGGAGATGAGTCGGCTTTGGCTAAGCTCACAAGGTTGCTATGTCAATGCAAATGGCTAAGAGAGTGAGCTAGAGCTGGCCAAACAATATTTATAGACACCCCCAAATAATAGAGCTGTTGGCTCAATTATTGGGCTGACTATGGGACGACTAGACGCACCGGTCGTGTGCACCGGACACGTCCGGTGTGGCGACTAGACGTGTCCGGTCGCAGCCTGATCACCATGTGTCCCTTTCAAATTGGTTAGCCATTCGTGCCCAACAGCTATCTCTGTGTGATCGGACGCGCTGTTAGAAAACGACCGGACGCGGGAGATGCAGCGTCCGGTCGAGTCCAGAGAGCTCCCAGAGCCGCTCTGGGCCGACCGGACACGTTCGGTCACACCGCACCGGATGCTCCTAGCGTCCGATCAATTATTGCGCTGAAAACCCGAGACTTGCTGATTCACACCGGACGTGTCCG